GTTTTTGGTTTAAATTGTTTAGCGGATTCATGGATATACACTTTAGTGCGCGAAGTATTTTAAAATTTTAAAAGAAAATGCTGCTTTCACATGATTAAAAAGGTTTTACATTCGGTCAGCAAATGTTTTGCTCTGTATATCTTCACATAAATGATGAGTATGCAGCTCTTCACCTGAACGTTACCTTCTTTCATGCAATACAGTACAGCATTGGTATTACAGTTTTACTTATAACGTCAATAGATTGTTTTATATTTGCAAACCACTGCCTTGCAAATCAGAGGAATTCTTTCGAGTATTCGCCGCATTCTTCGCCAGTGAGACTTACAAACATGCTTACACATGTTTCGAGCAAACGGAACACCAGCTATTCACTAGAGTAAGAGCCTTTATGTAGTTGAGCAAATATGATGACCGCATGTCCCTAAATTTAAACGAAAAACTTCCCTTTATAAATTACTGAGTCACCAACATTTGTAATACTACACTTCCTTCAATCGTCCGCAGATGGAAGAATAATTATTTTTTGAGTTTCAAAGAAGAGTTGGTGCAATTCCTAAAGGTTGAGGAAGAACTTGTTTCCATTTTAGAATATCTGTGCTTTTTTTATTTTCTACGGGCACAAGTTTGGTGGAATTATTCCGGATAATCGAGGTTGAACTCTATTGAATTTTTCGCTTTCAGTCGAGATTTTTCGCTTGTGGAAACCCATCCTCAAACTGGATACAGTTTTCTTTTCAATGCATAATTGAATCGCCAGTTGCCCATCGACATTGTAGAAAGAAAGATCGTGCTTTATCCAATTGACCTCAATTGTTTTTTGTTTTGCTTTGTTACGTTCATCAAGCTGATAGAAGCCTTCCATCTTTTTTATATCTCAAAACAGATGATTAATTTGAATTGTTCCTTCCGACTTCGTCATGAATTGAAACGTAGAGCATTTAAGTCGCACATTGTACAGAAAGAAATCGTTCTCGACATGCAATTCGTACTGAAATGATCTACAAAAATACTGTTGAAATGTGGGCATCAAAACGTTATCATTTGGAGTCGCCTTCAAAATGCTTTCTCCTTACCAATTGCAGTTCCTCATGGTGATATCGGAATGTAAAATATTCCCTGTTTTCGTCGTGAAGCAAAAAATACTTCGGCTTGGTGTTTCTTGAAGTTTTTGAATCGCAAAATCAATTTTACTAAGAATATTGTTGGGGAGCCGCAGGAGTTAGGTCTATACTTTACATCTTAAAATGTCAAAAACATACAGAAGACTGAATTTATCTGGATTTGCTGGCATAGTGCGCAGTTCATTATTTCTTCTTCTTCTGATGTTTATTCAGACTCCTCACTCCTGAGCCAATTGCATTTGAAGCCCTGAATTTACTATCGAAATATATCCTGGTTTTCGTCCTTCTAATAATTTTTCTGTGGTTAGCATAGTGCAGGCGAAAACACCGAAGTTCCCACTGAGAACGCCCAGGGCTCCCCGGAGCACAGGTTGAGAACCACAGCTCCGCAAGTCTCTGTGTAGCCCAAAATAGAAAACAAAGAAGCCTCTTGACCATAAACGTATGCATCCTGTTTCGTTTCCTCCGTTCTCGGGAAGAGAGCATATATCATCAAGCTGATAAAATAATGAAGACGGACCTTCATATTCTACGATACTCATCGCAACTATTTAAAATCCGGCATTACTGCCCGGGCGTCCTTCGAATCGATTTCTCGGTCATCAGATGCCACTCAGCAGAGAAAGAGAAAAGGGGAAGACAAAAGGAATCTCGAGTAGCAGCAGGTTCGACAGCTCGTTTCCTTCTGCGGCTCTCTGTCGCAAACCCACGACACCGTTCTCGTCAACTGTGTCTGCGCTGGAGAGAAAATAAAAACAGACAGAAAAGAGAGATTTTCGGAACGAGGATGATTATGCGCAACTCGTTACATGAATACAATCCCCGACGCTCATTTATCGCTTTTGTCGGGAATGAAAACTTCCGCATTGCTTCGTCGTCATTCTGTCCGTCAGTGTGTGAAAACTGTTCGGGCAGCACATGGTAATCATGGAACCGTGTTCGTATTTTTAGATAATTGCTGAACGCAAGCACGCACTTGTTGGACGCATACGTGCTGCGATTGCCTGGTTAGTACTTTTAGTTTTTACGACGACCGACTCCGTGAAGCATCTGTCGCCGCCAGACAGCGCTGCTGAGCAGCAAAGGAAGCTCACACCGCGTTGCTCACTGCGCCGCGTGCCAAAGCAACTTTACAGTTGCTTCGGCACAACTTTCAGATGAAAAAAAAACATTCGGAAAAAACGGAATTTAGCCAGGGGCAACTGTGTTCCACCTGGCTCAATCCCAGGGTTATTCTGGCCTGTATAAAAAGGGCTGTGCATTAGGCACAGCGAAGTCAGTCTGGAATCGATCACTCTCTCTGCCTCAGTGTCTCCATCTGGTGAAGTCATCTGCTCTTTGATTAATCCGGTGTATCTCTTGTATGTTTTTGGACTTATCTGACAGTCTTTGCCTTTGCCTACTAAAGGGATGTATGAGGAGCCAGGGATGCATAGGCAGAACCTCCTCTGAGCAGCTACTGTAGTTGATGATTTCTGCATTGCTCCCGCTCTGAGGCCCAAACTTTTCAAATCCTTTCTGAGCTAATTTATGCTATTTTTCTATCATCATGTTACATTCTTTCAGTCCGGCCCTGATAGTATTCACTCCTATAATTTACAGGCGTGACGGCCAACTGAAACGATACAATCGAATTTAACCGCATAACTTTTACTGCCGCTTGATGCAATATATCAAACCAGAAAATGATTTAAATTAATGGTAACAACTTATTTCACTTCAAAATTAACCTCAGAGGCTGTGTTATTTCATGAAACATGAAGCAAATTCGCAGACTGTCCTATAAAGTAAACTCATACAACTAAGAAAGGCAAGACAGACTTCTAATAATTTTGGTTGGTGGCTGGTTTCATTTAAATCCGAATAATCACATTTCTCAAATAATTGAATCCAAAAATTATTTACCAACAGCAGAGGGAATTCATTCAATGATGATTTGACATAAAAAAAATAATTTCCAAGGTGTGTTAATCAGGATGACGAACACAATGGTAAATATTCACTGAAAGGGAAATAAGGGACTCAATTTTAAATCACGTACCCTTTTTTTTCTTCTTTGTCAAAATCTGAACACGGTTAACCAATGATGGGTAAGAGGAATCCATTGATGAACATGTAAATCCTCTAATGCTAGAATTTGTGATTAGTTCAAAAATGCTCACTGGAGAGACAAATGCTTTAAATTGACAGATATTCTTTACAAAAATGCTTTCAAATATTATTAGAGTTCAACCTTGCTAAGTCAAACCCCCTGAAGTTGAATGCCTCCCTAATTCAAAAATTTGTGAGTCCCACTCAGAATTCTCTTAGAAATAATGCATTAAAACCTCCCTAATGTGAAGGCTTTTCCTCTGAAACATCCATAAGTCAAATTTGTAAGGCCTTTAGGTTATTATTTTATTGGAACTGGAAAGAAAAAACAATAATGAGGAATGGGATTTTATATGCTTTTACAAAATGTGACAGACTAAATTGGGCAAATGAAACCCTGTCTCCAAGTTGAGTGCTCTGTCAATTCATTTTAGAAGCAACTTGAGGCCCAGAATATCACAATTTACAACGTAGTGCAATTCTTCAATGTTTCCTACAGTAAAAATGCTTGCTTCTATGAGTAAAACATCTACCGTATTTACCTCTTCCATATTTATTACTTTACCATGCACATGTTTTTTTTCTCCAGAATTTGAGGCAGAAAAAAAGGGTGCGCTGGGTACTCGGGATACATTTTTTTTAGGAAAAATGTTTGAAAACCCTGAGCTTCCTAGGTGGGTACATGAAAAAATTAAGAGGCAATGCATGGCACTATAAGTCTTGTTCATCGGAAATAATGGCAGAAGGTATAGCAATTTTAGGAATCACAGATGCAACAGGAAGTAAAAGAAGCAGAAGATACGTATTCCTATGATTGAGGGAGCTGCAGACAGTAAAAAGCAGGAAAAATGAAATCTCAATTGGGGAACATGGATCCAAGCTAAAATTCCCAATTCTTGAATCTCAGCAACAACAAAAAATCTGGGGTGCGCGTCTAACAGAAGGATAGGATTTTAGACGAAGTTCTTGCAGAAAAATTGGGGTACATGGCAGGGCGCATGGTACTCAAGTAAATAATACGGTATAATTCTATATAACTCAAAACCTCTCTTCGTCAAAGCCTCTCAGTCAAAAGTTAATTTTTTGCTAATCCGTTGAAATTCAAGTTAAGAGAGGTTCAACTGTAAATGGAACTGAGGCTCTTTTGTGTTTTTTGTCAAGTTTCTTTAATGGAATTCTAGTTATTTATGCAACATTTGTTGATTATGCGATAAAGTTACATTTATATTCTGGCGCACAGGTAACCATCACGCAAAAGAATATAAAATGCCGAGATTATTTCGAGCAACATCATATGTAGAAGAAAAAATTAAGGAATTTGAAATATTGTATGAATCGCGTACAAGATCGTAGGAATTAGAAAAGAATCATAGATTCGTTGCATTGTATTGAACCGGATTTCTGGTTCTGGAAATAGTGAGAAAGTTTCAATTCAAGCAGGAATTAAGACACGTATATAATATTTACCGGGAAATGCGGTGGAGGAAATTTCCTTCCCAACTAATGATACGCTATGCGTGTCCTGCGCGTAGCCAGGGGAGGATTCTGGTTTAGTTTTCTGTGGCACCTGGTTGTTAACTGGTTAGACCTCAGCATTTATTACCGCGGTGGCCGGGTTGATAAATTGAGGGTGAACCCGAGAGAGTTGTGGAATGCTTCGGCAGTCTTACTCAGGCGCTTTGGTCAGGTGCGGACGCGTCTTTCTTCCCCGTCCGTGTTTTTACATGCTTGAATCCTCTCTGTTGCTTTGACCATTGTAAGAAGTGGTTTCCTTCGGTTCCCAACAGGTGATTTTGTGCATCTCAGTGGTTCTCTTTAGTGACGAATGATGGAGGGTTTGGTTCTGGTAGCCTCTGTGATTGCGGCATTGATTGCAACTAGTGAAGGACACCCAACATGGGCTCAGGACAAAGCAAAGTTGTGCGAAACGATGATTCCAGCTCACGGGGCGACTGCTCAGCCAAACTCCACTTTTGCTGATTTTTTCTCCTTGAATGCATCTGCCGTTGCAGAGGATGGTGGCTACTATCACGGTTTGTTCATGCCGCGAATCCTCAATCATGACTCTTTTTATTTTCAAGTTTCCCGTTTTGCTTTGTAGTTCAATTGGATGCTCTGGACAAGGACGTCGGCATTCTTGGATACTTGATCGAGGCTAGGGATGCTTGCACTGGAGAAATCCTCCGCGGTAACTGGAACACTGCCCAAGCAGACCAGATTCTCAGCTGCAACGCTAAAAATGGAGTGGTAAGCGAAGGAATTTCTTCGTATATCCCTTTCAAATTTTATAATCAATCTTGGGTCGCGTATATATGTATTGGAGAAATGGTAAGCATTTTTATGTAATAGTGGATTGAACAGAAACCCCAGATTAACTGTTCTAGAACGCGTATGCACGCCACTCGCTCGGTATTAAGTAATTCCCTTCATTTGGAAACGTATGCTGACGTCATCCATATATGCTGGCAAGTTTCGCAGTACTGTTTATGACCTTGGAAGAATCTTATGTCTTTCTCCTGCTCATAGGGTTTGAAGCGCAACATCATGGAGACCGATTTTTTGTATCAATGCCCAGGGGGGAAATCTTACATTTCTTCACCTGTAGACGCGTTTTGCAGTAATGTCCACCACATCAGCGTCATGTTAAAAAGAATAATTCCATTTCTGAAAATCTGATTTTATACCGTAATTTAGACGAAAAATGCTCAATATTAACGGTCATTACTAATCACCTGTTCTTTTTCTAATCCCGAGAATAGTTTGAATAAAATTTTCCCCATGTCGAGTTCTGAGGAAATAATGAGCTTTTTTTGCTTCGATGTGGCAAAGTAATTGGCCTTTATTAAATATTTTACAGAATGCAGTGCATCATCGTCCACGCAAAGCCCCGGCAGTCCCTCAGGTGAAGCACGCTTGGGTTCCTCTCAACAGTGTGACCTCTCTCAATTTCATGTGAGTTTTTAATTGGGATTGAATGGCCGACACGCGGAAGTCCGACCATGACCTCGACCAACGCGAGCTTCGAACCCTTCTCGGTTCAACGCTCTTCACGCAATAGTCACCTGCGTTTGCTACATTGCCTAAAGTCATTTTCTTATCCCACAGTGTGTCTGTTGTGCACAAGAAGGACCTTTTCTGGGTGAAGCAGTCTATCGAGGTGGTGCCGTGCAAGAACTAGGAATTCCGCATCGTGATCGAAAGCCGGCATTAACTGACTTGCGTGCTTAAAACGGAAATTCAGTGGCTTTTATTCTGTATTTTACCTATTTATATATTCTACACGAGAGGACTTCACTCTGCGTTTTAATAAAATTGACCGTCTGCTGCATACGAACGTGTATACGTTGATGGTTTGTGTGGGGTGCGGAGTGTAGGGTTGGGGGATGAAAAACGATCCGTGTTGGTTATTCATCCGGCCTGAACCGCAACGTATGCTTTTATTCCTTTCGGAGCGGCGTTCATCACTATTCCAGGGATGGTGTCGGGGGACCGATTTGCATGCATCGGGGTGCCCGTTTTATTATTCTTCCTGGTCTCTCTTTCTCCCGTTTATGCCTGTCGCAACGGAACTCCCGGCGACGCGTATATGTTTCAGTCCCACGGAAATGTTTATGGTTGCTGATCGAAGCAATCTGAGAAAAGTTTGCACATGGGTACGTGCGAGACACAGATTAGCCAGTGTTTGTGTTGGCATTTGGAGTACAGTACGCTCGGAAAACTTATTCGAGAAGGGAGATGGCCAGACGGCTGAAAATGGGGCTGTATTATGGTGTCCATTGTTTTGTCACTAATGCGATGTGATGGGTTCCTCCCGTCTGACGTCTGTCCTCCTGGTTTGCTTGGGCGAACAAGATTATGCTCCGTTTCATCTGATCGAAGTTTCGTTCATGTGGGGGAAAATAGCGATGGTCAATGCCCAAAAAAATGAACAACGATCCATCCAATTTAAAATAGAATAAAAACGATCGTTCTTTCGAAGTGGGTTGATGCTGGAGTGACACCTATTCTGTTAAGTGAGGAATGTGGTGCCCTTCGCTTTGACTGATGCATCCTAGGTGCTCAGAAGCATTAAGGAATGAAATAACCTATGGAGCATCTGCTTTACTGAATCCCGAAACTTCACATCAGAGCTTCGTTTTTGGCACTTCAATGGACTTTTGTTGAGCTTCTGGATTAGATATGATCGAAGCACTCGACCTATGTAATGTAAGACATTGGCAGCGACATCTGCAAGGAGAAATGGCCACGGTCTCTGAACTGCATGTACAGGACGTACTGCTGGGTCTGCGTCCGCGTAGTACTGTACTGTACTGTATTTAGAATGACTCTAGCCACGAAAAATCTTGCCTTAGCGATATTCTCAGTACTAAAAAATGCAGGTCCTGGTATAACCTTCGTAAAAATTTTCAAGCTGCTCCTCGGAAACTATTCAGTGTACTCTTCACATACGAACTACTGTTCCTTCAATGTCATACAAAGAAGAACATAAGGACGACGAAAAAGATTTTTAAAATGCGTATGAGACAAGTGGAAACATGTAGCGTCGATAGAATGACCTCTTTCTAGGTGGAAGACGAGAATGATGTGGGTGTTTTCTAGCAATTGCGGACCGTTCACATGCATGGGTTCCTGTGAAGATTGTCTTGGGCCGTTGTCCGTGATTCCGAACCCGATCTCGTTTCCCCTACACACGCCTCGGACATCCCGTCCAAGAGCTGTCGAGGCATGAGAATATCTGACGCGAAGTAATTACGTGTCACCAGAGCGTAAGGAATGAAAGAGACCATCTGGTTGTCCGAATAGATAAACGATGATAAGCCGTGATTTCCCCCGAGATTCGAATCTCATTTAAATCGTAATCGGTGTCACATGACTCATAAAAGGCAATCGCAACGGGATGCGCCATGCAGAGAATCCCCGTCGCCCCTCAAACTTCCGGTTCCACGCGGGGGTTTCACAATATTCCATGGTCGTTCCCTTTTGTGATGATGTGGTGGGGAAACGCAACGCAACTGATGCCCCCCGTTAGGGTTCTTTTTTTGCGATGTTGAAACGTGTTACCCCTCCCATTCATAAACCTGGATTCGAGCCATTTTTCCACACCACAAAGTGACAATGTCCCTTTCGTATTCATGAGCCATACGTAATCGACCCCCATTTGCGGGCTCACGTTAAAAAAGTACGAAGTGAACAATTTTCCTTCTCGATGCTTATGAAGCTACCAAATAAACATTTATTTCTTAACGAAATATTGGCATGCAAACACCGATACGGTCCAAATATTCTAGACATCTAGAGCATAATATCCTTATAAAGTAATTTCTTAAAACAAATTCGTTTCTAGGTCCCTCCCCAAATAGCCACAACTCCATTTGGGTTTCTTTTCAGCGATATTTATTACAATAAACGTATTTTGGAACTAAGTCCCGACGTCTTCATTATAACAAGATTTTACTATAAAAACTCTTACATGCGATAAAATGTCATCGATTTTGAAATTTTCAGCTAAAAAACAAAGGCATTTAAGCTGAAAAAATCCGTGATGTTGAATTTTTATCATGCTCCTAATGCCGGAGGCCTCCACTCGATCAATACAAATATTCGTGAAAAAATTAATCCTCAATCTGAAGAAATTTCTCTGAGGATGGACTGACGCAGAACTAGGAGCATTACCGCAAATCTATAATATATAGCAGAACATTTTCCTTGAAGTGCTGATGTTTTTTTTGAATCTTTGATAACAATAAATAATCCCTTAACGCTGCTCGAGATCAACTGTTCCATTTCCGATATATTTTCCAAGCGATTCTGATTATGTTGATCTAACTTTTAAATTGGTCTCCATATGAAATTCAAGTTGATCCATGATAAAATGGCTCACATTCAAGTAATATGCGACACTCAGTTTTATTTAATTGAGTTTTATATGAGCTCGGTGAATCTGACGCACAGCCAACCGAAGCGCAGATCGTTCAAATTATTTATCCCGTGATTTAAGCTATGATCCTTTCGTGTTTTGCGGGGGTATGCACGTTTTCCAAATTGAAAGAGGACTCTTCTTAGTCATGGAAAGCGGATGCCGAATCATGATGAAAAAGGAAAAAGCTTCAGTTCTAGAACTAGATCAAGCATAACCGGTCGATCAAACACGATTGTTTGTTCGGAAATGTTGATTAAATGTATTTCTCTCCCGTCTGCATAACAATAAATACATTCGGAAGTGATGCAACACGTATTGCAAATGCGGTTTCGCAGCGGGAGCGCGCGAAAAAGCCCGAAAAAAAATGCCCGAGGTCTCGTTACTCGGTTAAGCGTCATGCACCTGCTGACCGGACTCGGTTTCAGCTCCCGTCGGCTGGTGGCAAAGGGATCAACGACTTTGTCAAATCTTCTTACGGCAAGAAGCAGCGAACGTTTCCAACAACAGTACAGTAAATTACTTGCCTCATAAGAATGGAATTCAAGCCTTAAATTCGTTTTTATTAAGCCGCTAAAAAAAAGAAAATAATTTTCTTGAAGTGATATAGAGATACTAAAGCCGAGGCCAAATGATTGGAACAAGTGTTGGACATGGGTTTTAAACTTGGATCAAACGAAAACCTTTTATTGATATATTATGTGGACTTGAACATCATTTTTCGAAAATCAAAATTAGCTCGGTTGATCTTGAGAATGTATAGATGCTCCGCGGCGAGAAAAATTCCGGAAATATATGGATGTTTGATTGCGTCGTCAAAACTACTGCCACAATTCATTAGAAATAACATTCAAGCATTAAAAATAACCCTATCATTGTTTTCAGGTGAAACTCTGAGTATAAGTCCAAATAACCCTCAGAAAAGTGCTTCCAATTTTGTGATTAGACGGATTTCAAAATTTCCGGGTTTCTTTATCCTCCCACTCTCAACTCAGTTTTTCGACGCTGATATGTAGTCATGATGTCATCATGCAATATTCTACAAATTTATGACATCCTTTCCGAGTGTGCAACAGTCGACACATCTCAAAAGTCTCAATTGACGTGCATTGATTTTTTTCATTTCTTCTGATGGAAAACAAGACTTGATTTGATGGATAAACCCAGAGAATCTTCGCGGAGAAAATAATTTTAAAAGAATAGCCTCATTTTTGGGGAAACACGGTCCTACATGCGCACACGTCCAAACTGAGTAAATTTATGATACTTCGACGGACATTGAAATGTATCATAGATCATGCTGGTACTTCTGTCTCATAGCGTTTCATGAATCTTGAGTTATCCTGTGAGAGAGGAAATGAAACTTTTTTTTTTTTGAAAACGTTTGCTGCGTTCTTGGCGCAAGAGGGCCGCCGTCGCCTTAGTACCGATAGCGGACTTTGCAAGCCGCCCAGTTGTTGGACGCAGCGGCGGCGGCGCCGTAGTATCCCGCGTGCTGCGCGGCGGAGTAGAGCGCCGACGACGCCGGGTCGTCGAAGCATCCGGGCTGCATGAGGCCGTTGAACTGGTGGTGATGGTGATGGTGATGCGGGGCGAACGCGCCGCCGCCGCCGGCTGCGGCCGCGGCTGCCATGCCAACGCCGACGCCGACTCCGACCCCGACGCTCACTCCGACCCCTTTGAAGTCCGCCGCGGCTGCGGCTGCGGCAGCTGCGGCTGCTGCGCTCATGGCGTTCCTCTCGCGCTTTCTCCACTTGGCGCGCCGGTTCTTGAACCAAACCTGCAGGAGAAGGCTGGCATTAGGCTCCATCGACCCGCATCTCGGTTTATTCTCCTACGAGGCCCTTCCTCGCTTTCTCTGTGCCCTCCTCCCCCCGTCTTCCGTCGTTTACACGACATTAATCCCTGCCAGGCTTTGGAGTCTGAGCGAGAAATGCCCTCCCTCATGCAATGCACGCCTTTCTTTCCCACACCCCGGATCCCTATGCAAACGCCCTGCTCATCACCTATCTGCGCAAGCCACGAAGAACGATCAATTCGCATTATCTTACGAATCGGAGGAGCTGCCTCTGAAGTAACCCTTAGAGTTCTTAAATTAAGAGCTTAAATTGGTCGAAATTAAGATCTGAAATTGTGGTTAGCGATCGACTGTCAGACCCGGATATCTCAGCACTGCTTCTAACTACCGCCGTGGAACACCATTCATTTGGTGTAATGAGTGGGGAAATTAGACCTAAAAATGAGGTATCTCGGATAATCAGTTGATATTTCAAATCTGTACAGTATTTAGCAGGTAAAAATAAGGGCCTGATGATACAGCTCTGATATTCTCCCAAACTTCTTAATTTATTAGACACTATAATTAGCCAAAAACAGGGAAATAAAGCTGCTTAAACTCTGTTTAAAAGGTACACGGG